ATTGTACCCCCTCCATCAAAATAAGAAATAAAGAAATAAAATATTCCCCAAGTTTGCCACCCCCATGAAAAAAATAAAATAAAAATAAATGAAATGTTAACTGCACTAAAAATGCTTCACCTCTCTTTTTACCACCCTCGCCTGCCAATATTGATGCTACTGTCAGGTACTAATAGTTTGATGTCAGACAATATGAGGAAGCTTACTCTATTTCATAATGTCAATAAGAAAACACTCTTGTCATTCTTAAAAGGCGAGAGAAAGAGGGAAATGTGTGGAATGATATGATGGGGTTGGTACTGGGAAGGACTGTAGGTAGGAACGAATGAGGAGAGATGGATAGACTAATAAAATGAAGGAAGAAAGTCTAAAGAAACAAAAACAAAAGATAAAGATAAAAAGAAACAAACAAAAAAACTGTAAAGTGAACCCAAAATAGAAAAAAAAAAAAAAAGGAAAAAGAAAGGAAAAGGGTGAAGAAAGAAAAAGAAAAGGTAAAAAAAGGAAAAAGAAGGGGGAAGGCTGAAGAAAGAAAGCAAAAAACAAAAAGAGTGAAAATAAAAAGAGAGTAAAAGAACAAAAGTAAATACAAAAAAAAAAGAAAAAGAGAAAAAAAATAATGGGAACTATCAAAAGTAAATAAAAAAAAATATTATCCAATATGAGAAATCAAAAAAATTCATCACAATTGAAATAATGATTTTTTGAAAGGATGACCATTAGTAAAAGAAAAAAAAATCTTGTTTTTTTTTCATCAAATTGGCTTCCTAGTTTTCCCCCTCGCTTTTTAGACTTTTTTCTCTCTTCCCGCTTTCCTGCCATTCCCCACATCTCCTCCATATATATCCTCAGATGTTGTCCACGCAAAAATTGCACGTTCTCCCTCGTAGACATACAGGATATTGATTTCGCCGGATGATAACCTTTCACTTTGGCATTTTTTGCATATCCCCCAAGTCACAACACTCACTCTAAAATAGGCATTCATACACGAGCTACTGTTTTTGATGAGACGATAGCCACTGAACTAGAGAGTAGAAGCTGTGGTCTAAAAGAAATTGGGGAGGGGGGGTCCACAAAAAATGTGAATCACCACTTCTGCCACCACCAATACCACATCAAAGTGATCTTAGCCAAAACGAAAAAAAATTGATCTTCACTCAAATGTTTCAAAGGCATTTTTTTTTGTAATTTATATCTACCTTTACTTACCAAGAGTAAAATTTACTTGAAATAAAGAAACAAAAACAAAAATAAACACAGAAAAGGATATATATATATATATATATATATATATATATATATATATATATATTTATATATATATATATAACTATAAACAACAAGTAAAAAAGAATTGTAATAAAACTCTTGGACTCTCCTCTAGTAGATAATGTAGGTATATGAATGTAGATGGATGCACGTATACATGTACATTTCTGCGTGCATGCATACTTGCAAGTATGTATGTGTATGTCATTGTAAAAGAGAAAAAAGGGAATATGTTCAGGCAGGATGGTGGTGGATGGCTGGGTTGGCTGTCTCCATTCCTAGTGAAGCACATCAGCCTGTCAGTGGCTGGAGCAGCCATTACACACACAACACACTTGCTAGGACAGCAGGCCTCTCTCTCTCTCTTTCTTTCTCTCTTTTTCCCTCTCATGCTCATATACAACACACCCAACCTATGCTGTTGTCAAAAAAAGCAGCAGTAAGAGCAGTACTCTTCAACAGAACACATCTCATCACGGACTCCACCGATTCCAATAGTTCAGGTTAGTTGTTAAATTTTTCATTCCTCTTCTTCCCCACCTCTCTTGTTTTTCTTTTTTCTGTTTCTTTATTTAAATTTTCTTTTTATTCATACAAGTGGTTTTTCAAATACAGTTGAAATTTGATGTATGCAATTTTTTCTTGCTTTTTTGTTTTTGTTTTTTTGTTGTTTTTGATGAAAAAATATATGCACACATTCATATGCGTACAAAAAAAGATTGACTGAATAAAAATACATTATATAAAAATACTACATAATATATATATATATATATATATATATATATATAAATATGTGACACCATAGTATAAATTATTTTTCAAGTTTCAAGGTATAAGTTAAAGAGTTATAAGTAGTTAAAAGAAAAGTAACACATTTTTTTATTGTAAGAGTTTTCTTAAATTAATTTTTTAAACTCCATATGATTCTTTTCTATGTGTGTATATATGTACTTTATATGTATATATTTATAAGATTATAGAGATATACACAATGGTTAGTATATAAACACACACAAATAAATATAAATATAGCCTCAGTTTTGCATATAAGACTTTTTTCATATACCAGAAATTAGTTTCAATATGATTTTGACAAGAACCAAAAATTAACAGAGTTCAAACTAATGAAAACTATAAGGAAAAATTGCTTAAAATAAGGTGTGTTATTAGTTGAATTTTTTTCCATTTGACCAGGTACTAGAAAAAAATCCTACTCAGTTGTATATTTTAAAACTAGTTGCAGATATAGACCTCTTTTAATTCACTTGAAAGAAAAAATTAAACCAATCAAAATCAAATGAAATGTAAAAGTTAATAAACA